AATATAATCTTCGGAATTGCCCCAATCGATAAAATCCATATCGGTTAAGGCGTCCACATTGCTTAAATGGGTTAATTTATGATAAAAATAATCGGTACCCAAACGGTGGTAATACGCATGAAACGTTTCCCCCGATTGACGATGGTTTAAAAAATCATCCAACACAATGCGCAAGGCCTCGGGTGCTCTTTTAGAGGGCACTTTAAGCACCTTGTCCGAGAACACCGCTTGTCCGTCGCCCAACGGACGCCCCCCCAACAACACCTGAGAAGCGGGCGCAATTTTGACACCGGCCTTCACCGTCATGCCCTGAAACCCAATATCGGCCATATTATGCTGACCACAGGCGTTCATACAACCGCTTATCTTAACATTGATGTTTTTTTTCATGCAGCAATTGGGGATATTCTTCCAACATGACCCGCTCCAATTCCACCGCCAAACCCGTGCTGCTGGCTATGCCCAAATTGCAGGTATCGGTACCCGGACAAGCCGTTATATCCACAGGACTCTCATAACCTGGGGCATTCAGTCCAATGGATTTTAGCGCATTGTATAAGGCAGGCAAATCATCGGGTTTCACAAAGCGCAACACTATGTTTTGGGTCAGCGTCAACCGAATGTCGTCAGCCGCAAATGCATCCACCACTTTGGCCAATTCTCGGGCGGTGGCCGTTGTAAAATCGCCCAATGGCACGCGAATGCCCACCGCCACAAAGCCCGTTTGTTTTTGGGCAAACACATTGGTTTGTTTCCAAATTTCAAAAGCCTTAACATCGTCTATGGTTTGATCTTTGACCCAATCCCCTGCCAAAAATACGGGCGACGACTCAGGAGCCTCGATTTCAAATATTTTGTGTTTGGTGGCCAAGCGTTCCACATTCACCCATTGCATAAAGGCTTCAAAACCCAAATCGGCCACCAAAAATTTTAAACGGGCCTTGTTGCGTTTGGCCCTTTCACCATAACGGTCAAATACCCTAACCACCGCCTCGGCAAAAGGCAATATTTGATTGGTGGGTAAAAATTCATAGGCCACAAAAGCAGGCAATGGCTGAGAACCCAAACCACCACCCAGCATTACTTTAAACCCTCTTTCTCCGTCTTTGATTTTGGCAATAAAACCCAAATCGTGCATATAGGTTAACGCGTCATCGGCATCGGTCGATGAAAACGCCATTTTAAATTTCCGCCCCATGTCTTGGCTAATGGGATTGCGTAAAAAATATTCGAATGTGGCATGGGCATAGGGCGATACGTCAAATGGCTCATTGGGATCGACCCCAGCCATGGGCGAACCCGTTACATTGCGCACCGTATTGCCACAAGCCTCTCTTAGGGTGATTTGATCTTTTTCCAATTCTTCCCACAATTGGGGCGTTCTATCCAACGACACATAATGAATCTGAATATCTTGACGGGTGGTAATGTGCAATTTGCCTC